AAACTCTTATGGGAATTTGAGACATGAGAGTACACTCACAGACTGACGGACAGACCGACGGACAAACAGGCCAACAAACATCTCTCTAAAAAGCGTTTATTTATGCTTTTATAACATGGAGAAATACATTTTCGCCGACTATTCGACATCCAAATTTTTTGCCATTACGTAAACTGCCTTTTTATAGTATAGTGCGGTCGATAAAAAAGGTTATAAACTTGAATAAAATGAATCATCGCAGTTATATAAAATCTTTATGCCATATATTTTTGTTTTCCCCTATACATGAATATTTTATGAAGAAATATTTTCCTTATTTTTAAAACATGTATGAGGAGTGATGCTATACAAAGCATTTTTAGATTCCATGGTAGAAGAAATAAAGAAGTTTTTTAATCAAAAAAGTAAATGAAAATAAATTTTAACGCGAAATGTTGTAATAAGTTTTGTATTAATATTTACCCTCTTAAGTACATTGTTTGTTTTTCAATTTAATTTCCCAAAGAAAGATGTTTTTAATTGCATAGGCGAAACACAAATATTATATATTGTATTTGTGTATATAATACATATTACGTCTTGACGTCTCCTCTAAAATTTTAAAGGGTTGTATATGATTTTTTTGTGCGTATACAACACATGCATGTAACGTATATAAAAAAAATCCTTTAAAAGTTACGATCATAGAGAAGCATTTACTCTTTTGTTAATGTCCACAGATGGAGGATTACTTTAATGTTTCCTAACATTTTTGATTATTTTTTTTTTATATAAGTATGTAAGTTTGTTCTTTAATAAAGGGAAAGTTTAAATTTATTACTTTTTTTTGATGTTGTACATTTGTATTTTTACTTATAAAAGCCCTATTTTGTGGGATTTTGTCATTTTGAATTATGTTTACACATGCATCTATTTAATTTTTTTTAAATCATATTTATTTTTGATATTATTATTTTAAAGTGTGGCTATAAAAAAAGAAAACATTCTTTAAAGATAAACTTTCATTGGTTTTTAAAATCTTGTGTATCAAAACTGATTTATTGCATTTTCATCTTTACATTCTTAATAAAATTTAAAAAAAAAACCCGCAATTCTATTATCTAGGATACCCTATTACCAATAATTTTATAAAAACTAAACCTAGTTGAAATTGAAACTTCAATGGTGTAGTTTTGCAATAACAAAAATACTATGATGAATAAATATATAAAAATGTAACAGAAAAAATTAATATTTCTCAAAAATATACCAATAGATAAACTAAAATAACGTTTATAGTGCTACATTACAAACCAATAGTTCGCCATGTAGCACTTTTCCCTTCAACAAGTGAAAATACTGCTATTAAAAACCATGTATGCACTACATTATTAAAATAAGCTTTATTCATATACGAATATGTTTAAAAAAATTCATACATTTAGGATGAGCAATGCATCCAATCTCTGAAATAAAACGAAAAAAAAATTTAAAGAGGCGTTAACATAATGCTCGAATTTACGGATTATTTGCGCCAGTTAAGAAAAACTATGATATTTTATTATAAAAATTTATAAATTATTATAATTTCTGCATTTATAGAAATTTGGAAAAGCTTGCGGTTTCTGAAATGTAAGTCACCAAAAAAAATAAATTTTCAAATTTCGCTAGGCGATAACTTAAGACAGGGTGAAAGTGAATAAAAATTTTCTTCTAGCGAAATTAACTATTTATGAATATTTTAGAACTACTAAAATTGCGGACTCCCACAATCCGAGGTCTAGAAGAAGAGCGATATCAAAATTTTGGAAAAAACGGATTTTAGATATTGGTAGATTATAGCGGCCTTTTTATTTTTGCAAAGTTTAAATATGGTATTCCGCGGTAGAAGACACCAGCCGCTACTTTTCTGCGTTTGTAAAATTTAAAAAATGTTTCTGGTTTTGCTAAAATATTACTTAAAAAATAGCATTTTAGGACTTTGAGAGCTTATGACTTTTAAGGCGGGGGAGATAGATAAAAAAATTTTTCTACGGAAATAAATTTCAAGTAAAGTATATACATACTTTATGTACACACAAAACATTCTATGTTTAACGGTATGTAGAAGTTTTATAAACATGTTCACGGGCGGACAGACGGACAGAGTGAAACTAATAAGCACTTTTTTTCAAAATATTTTGTAAAAGTACTCAAAAGTGGTTTAATCTCTGAGTTTCGGTGCAACCACAGGTTATGCCAGGATCTCAATGCAACTTGTCAAAAAATTTTCGGATTGAATTAGTAATATATTGACAATTTTAATGTGTAAACATAAATGTTCTTTGATAAGTTTTGTTTTCTTCAACTTTTAAAAAAATCAACACTAACTTCTTTAAAAGTTGTAGCAAAAATATCTGTTCTAATTATCGCCATATGGGAGCACCCAAAGCTTTCAAAGATTTTTGAAACCACTTCAAAAAATTGGCTCCTGGATTTTTTCCAAAATATAACGTATTACACGAAGAGCAACATGATTCTGAAAGAAATTTTAATATTACTACTGCATGTTTGAGTTTCTTCAGTTTAATAAGAGGCTCCAGGAAAATCTATCTTGGGTCCGAAATTTATATTAATGATTTGGAAAAATTAAATTATTAAATTAAGAGGGGGTTTATCCAGAAAATAACGAACGCGAAAATAAAAAAGTATAAACAATACTTCGTCAAGAGTATAAGCAATAAAGTATAAACAATAGAATCCGAAAGAGTTTTACTGAAAATTATGGCCACATCACCAAATACGTTTGTTCAACATTTCAGCTTTGTAGCCTTAATAGTTTTTGATCTATGAACAAAAGGCTTGTGAAGTTGCATGTCAGCTACCACAAGTACAACTTTTATCAAAAAAACCTCCCTAATAATATATTTGTTTGTGCAAATTTTCAAAACTATGCACTGTGTTTTTTTGAGATATTGCCAAATAACTTTTGGAGTTGTACCATATTTGTTTTTGCAAAATTTCCGTACTGTAGGTTGAACAGAGTTTAAGCTAAAGCCTTAATTAGTGTTGGAGAACTATCGATGTATTGAACCATGGATATTTTCGATATATCGTCGTAAAATTACCGCGATATATCTATAGTTTCCTAACGTAACTTGCTGTATAGTAACAAAACTTGCTGCTGTATATACATGATAGTGTGATTATAACCAAACATTGAGTAAATAAAACAAGTACATATATAAATAATGTTGTTTGAACAATATTAACTGAAATAAGACGTATCACCGACTTACACAGGCATTGTAATGTGCGTAATATTAACTTTAAATATTTTATTATTTTCTTTCTACGTTTTTCTTTTGTTAACTTTTTATTCTTTATTTTATCGATAAAAAATCGTTTGCTGTTTTGAACTTTTTGAATTTGTCATATGCTTAAGCAAAAAAAAATTATTTATCGGTTGCCAATAAACTGTCAAGCTGAGATATTTTGGAATATTAGTAAAACTATTGTATACATCGAAGCATTTATGCCTATTGGCATACTCGCTTATGTAAACCCTCAGTCAAGTCCAGTATTCAAACATGTTGTGTGTTAAACTTCAACTTTGACAAAGCTAGTAGCAAGTTTTTTCTTTTGTTTATTCCAAAAAATACAATAAAAATAAAGCTTCACTTCATTTCATGTTTTCAAGAAACATTTTCAATTTTCAATTTTCACTAACGTAATAAATTAATGTGTATACGAATGAAAATAAAGTTATGGAACTAAAAAAATTCAAAACGATATTCCGTTCTTGCCTACTTTTAAAAATTTATTAATTGAATTTATTAAAACTATCGATAGTGGCGAGAGTGCCATCGATAGTTCTCCACCTCTAGCCTTAATAATATATTCGCTTGTGCGAAATTTCAGTGCTATAATTTCTTTGCATAATATGCTAGGAAAAAGAGAGAGAAAAGAACGATTTGTGTTTTTTGCTGATTTCAACAAATTTTTTTATAAGTATGCTTGGAAAAAAATATAAAGTTGGGTCAAACCAATGGTTTGTATTGTAGCACTTTTCCCTTCAACAAGTGAAGGAAAAAAACAGTCTATGTATATCCACCACACTATTAAAATTATTTTCATTCATAAACGAAACAATTTTTAGGATTGCATATATTTAGGTTGAACGATTTATGCAGCCTTTGAAATAAAGCGAAAATTAATATAAAGTGGGTTAACATACTGCTCGATTTTAAGGGTTAATTGTATGAGTTAAGAAAAATAATTATATTTTTTAATGCATGGAATTTACCGTTAGCTTTTTGCGTTTATAGAAATTTAAAAAATCTTACGGTTTCGGAAATATAAGATCTCAAAAATTCAAATTTTACAAATTTCAAGAGGCGATAACTTGAGAGGGGGTGGAGATGGAAAAAAATTTTCTTCTAACGAAATGAAGCATTTATTACTATCTAAAAGCCCCTACAATTTGAAGCTTCTACAGGCTGGGGTCTAGAAGAAAAACGACATCAAATATTTGGAGAAAACAGACTTTAGATAACGGTAACTTTGAACGGCCATTTAGGTTTTCTATAGTTTAACTATAGTATATCGCGCTAAGGGAAGCAAGCTTATGGTTGACTCAACGCTTATGGTTTTACTGCAATAAATAGTTAAAATATGGCATTTTTAGGTTTTTGGGCGGGTATAACTTCTAGAGGGGGAGAGATAGGTAAAAACTTTGTTCAACAGAAATAAGTTTCTAGTAAAGATCTATGTACGTATCTAAACATTTCTACGGACGGACGGACAGACGGACGGACGGACAGAGTGAAACTAATAAGCACTTTTTTTCAAAAAATTTTTAGAAAAGTGCTAAAAAAACAAAAAATGCTCTTGTAACAATTTGTTTCAAATTATTTTATGATCATTGAAATAATTGAAGATCAATAGTAATTTATGTTAAGTAAATCAAACAATTATTTTTAAAACATCTGTATTACTCTGTATGTGTTAATCAATATTAATTTCTTTTTTTTTTTTTGCAGGTGTGTGTCTGGTAACAAAGGTTCTAATAGTTTTTTCCGCTTGGGTTTATATCGAAGTAAATATTATTAACTTTATGCAAATTTGATTCAAGAAAAAAAAATTGAAATGATTTCTTTAAGAAACTTGTATCCCTAAACTAACAAATATTAGTACTTAAATAATCGAAAATATCTTCGAAAAATTATTAGGTTGGCGTTTTGATTAGAAATTGAAAGTTTCTGCTAATGTTGATTCCCAAAAAAATGTTGACAAATTGAAAATTTAATAAATGACCTTTATTTGTAACATTTCAGCTTGATTTTAAAAATTCAAACTCGAATAAACTAAACATAAACTTAAACTGAGATTAGTTTTTTCAAAACATTAAAAATTGTTTTTATTAACAAAGCTACAATTAATCAAATTTTAAAATCGAAAATTTTATTAATGCCGATTATAAAAAATTTAAAATATTAAGTTTTATAAGCAATTCGTAAAATAATCTTTGAAATATTGAATTTAATTTTCCTATTGTTAATTTTGATGAAAAAGATGAAATTTTGAACAAATTTGTTTTTTTTTTTGAGAGCTTAAGGCTTTTGCAAATTTTATTTTTGTCTTTCCATTACAATAATGACATATTATTTAGGAATTAATTTCACTCCTTTTTCATAAAAACACACTGAGTATAATTAATGCTACATTAATTCTCACATGCTTCATACCGTATAGAATGGTATAAAAATTATTAAGGTATGTTTTTTGGAACGGTTTCAGAAATATTCTTACAACTTTTTCTGTGTTTTTGCTTGGTTTTTTATTGCAGATTTTTGTGGCGAATGCTAATAGTTTTATTTCTTTTTAGTACTTTTCCAAAAAATTCCGTCCGTCGGTTCGTCCTTGGACATGTTTATAAAACTTCTGCACCCTTGAAGATAGAAAGCTGAAATTTGACATGTACATAGATCTTACTAGAAACTTACCTTTACTAGTAGAAGAAAACTTTTAGCTATCCCCCCCCCTACTAGAAGTTATACTCCCAGCTCTCCAAAAACCCTATGGAATTTTTTAACTATTTATTGCAGCGAAACCATAAGCATTTTTCAAATTTTGCCAACGCAGAAAGTAAAAGTCTTGCTTCTCTTATCGCGGCATACCATAGTAAACTTAAAAAAAAAACAAAATGGTCGTTCAAATTTACCGTTATCTAAAATCCGTTTTTTTTTTTCTCAAATTTTTGATGTTGTTTTTTTTCTAGAGCCCAGGTTAGGGGACCCTGAGATTTTGGGTAGCTTTTAGGCACTAACAAATAGCTCATTTCGCTAAAAGAAAATTTTTTTCCATCTCCACCCCCTCTCAAAATATCGCCTCTTGAAATTTGTAAAATTTGAATTTTTGACGCTTTATATTTCCGAAACCGAAACCTTCTTCAAATTTCTGTAAATGCAAAAAGCTAACGGTAAAATCCATGACATTAAAAAATATAATTATTTTTCTTAACTCAAGCAATTAAAACTTAAAATCGAGCATAATTATGTAACCCCCCTCTTTAAATTAATTTTTTGGTTTACATATTTCAAAGACTGCATAAATCGTTCATCCTAAATATATGCAATCCTAGAAATTGTTTCGTATATGAATGAAAATAATTTTAATAGTGTGATAAGTATACATAGACTGTATTTAAAAACAGTATTTTTACTTGTTGAAGGGAAAAGTGCTACAATACAAACCATTGGTTTGACTCAACTTTATTTCAATTCGTTTGTAGCCCAACCGATACAATATAAGTTGAAAGGTTATTTTATTTATGACTTATTTTGCGTTTTGTTGATTGTGTTATTTTAGTTGATATTTTTAACTTAAAAGCAACAAGAAAAAAATATTTTTTTTCATTCTTTATTAATTTATGGTTTTATTTGACCATGTTTTTCAAAAATGTAAAAAAAGATTTCCACTTTATTCCGTTTGCTTCAGTAAAATTTACGAAAAAATTAAATTCTAATATCAGAACAAAAAGATTGGTGAGAAGAACGTTCCTTCATCCGCTCTATTTATGTGCGCATATAAATCCATATATATCTATACATATAGTTTATTGCTTAACTCTTTTTTGGAAAGAAATATGTTCCTTTATTTATACAAAAGTATATACATATATATTTATATATACACATATACAAATATTTAATATAACATATTATATATACGTACATATGTGTATAAATATATATATATATATATATACATATATACTTAAACTGCAAGATACGTGTACCTCAAGATCGGCTGAACCGATTTTGATGAAATTTCACATTTTTTTTCTTTTTTTTTTTTTTTTCTACTAGGTGAAAAAATCTCGAACGACGAAGAAGGACGGCTCTATCTGCCTTTTTCCTCCGACAGTGGGGGAGCGTGACTCCTACCCTAAAAAATCACCTAAATTCTGAACGGATAAAACTGGTCCTACAGACCAACTATTACCTCCGCGCTAACTTGGTTTTTCCGTGCAGGTATTAAATACCTTCCATAAGGAAATTGGTATTTCGTATTAAATCGAATGGCCTTGTTCGTTTAAGTCTTTCTGTCATAACGCCATTGTCTCGCAGCCGAGCTGCTTCCATATTTACATGCTCTTCTAGACGAGCCCTATGCTTTGTAGCACAACTATTAATTTCATCCACAACCAAAGGAATTCCTAAGTCCCTGCGGACATCACTGTTACGTATATACCATGGCGCATTTACCATGCCCCGTAGAACTTTATTCTGGAAGGTTTGAATTCTGTTAATGTGAGCCTTCTTGGCACAACACCACAGCTGAATGCCATATCGCCATATTGGTTTAATGATTTGGTTATAAATTAAGATCTTATTATCAATTGCCAAATTGGACTTACGACCTAGGAGCCAATAATTTTCTCTATATTTATTTTCTAATTCTATGTGTTTCTTCTTTATATGCTCTTTCCACCTTAGCTTGACATCTAAAGCCATTCCTAAGTATTTTGCTGAGTTATGGATCGCTACGTTCGTTCCATTTACGTTAATTTGTGGTGGATTCACTATTTTCCGATTGGTGAAGTTTATGTGAACCGATTTTGCTTCATTCAACTTCACCCTCCGATCTCTAGTCCACTGGCTTATTTTGTTAATTGCCTCCTGTAATTTTTTTGTCGAATCGTCAATGTTCGCTCCTACTGCAAATATTGCAGTATAGTCAGCAAAAGTGGCTATCGTAGCATTTCTATCAGCTAAATAATCTATCAGCTAAGTAAGATTTCAAAATTTCTACAAATGACGAATGTAACATTTGCCCTAACTTAAGTATAAGGCCCCTGTGCCACACCCTGTCGAATGCCTGTTCTACAACTAGAAACATAGAAGAGCAGATTTCCTTATTTTCCAAGTTTTTTTCTATAATATTAGTCATTCTATGGACCTGGTCTATTATAGAATGGTTTCTTCTAAAACCAAATTGATGGTTCGGTATTAGGCCCCTATTTTCTATTATTGGCTTCAATCTCGTTAATAGCAGCTTTTCAAAAAGCTTAGACATCATTGATAACAGTGAAATGGGCCTGTAAGACTTTGTTTCCCTCAAGGATTTCCCGGGTTTCGGCACCATAATTACCTCCGCGACTTTCCAAGCACAAGGAACATACCTTAAATCCATAGCTGCATTCATGATTTTCATCAGATGTTCCAATGCCTCGTCTGGTAGCTCTCTCAGTACTTCCGCAGTAATAAGATCAAAACCTGGCGATTTTTTCAACTTCAGGGATCTTATTTCTTCCGCAATTTCTAATTGAGTAAGTGGAGCTATGCTGTCTGCTTCATTTGCGATAGATTCTACCAAACCCATATCTGAAGTTATTCCGTTTGGAGTGAATATGTTTTCCAAGTGATCAGCAAACAATTTGGCCTTCTCTCTATTTCTCCTCGCCCAACTGCCATTTGCTTTCATCAGTGGCGGAGCGTGCCTAATCGTTCTCTTTTTACTCCTTGCCGCCTTCCATAAGCAATAATTCTTTTCCCTCGTAGCTGACAAGTTCTTTATATAATTTTCGTATGTTGCCGATTTAAATTCTTGGATTTTTCTTTTAAGCACCTGGGAAAGCCTGTTTAAAACAGTTTTATCATCAGGGTGAGATGCGAACGTTGCCATCTACGTCTGGCCCTTCTCTTTTCACCTACTAAATCAGTTATTTCTCGAGGATAGCTATTTACTGTCGGTTTGTACTTTGACATTTTTGTACTGTTCCATGCAGCTCTTTGTATGATTTTAATAAATCCTTCTAACTCCACATCTAATTGCTCTCTTGATTGTATATTAATATTTACGTCAATATTGTTTATTATTTCGTATCTAAAGCTCACCCAATCTGTAGTGCTATTTGTTAAACTGGGCCTAAATAATGTATTAGTTATTTTTTCACTTAGTTTTAATATAACAGCAAAGTGATCCGAATTAAAATCATAGTTATCTTCAAGGCTTAGAAAGTTTTCTGATATTTTTTTGGTTATAAAAAAGTCAATAACATCAGGAATCTTGTTAGTGTCAGTAGGCCAATAAGTAGGAGTGCCAGTGGAGTGATAGCAACAACCTAGCTCTTGAATAGCTTTTCTTAGCTCTCTTCCTCTAGTTGAGGTGATTCTAGAACCCCAATCTGTATGTTTGGCGTTATAGTCACCTACTATTAGATATCTGTATCCATGCTTGTACAGGAGATCTTTAAAAGTATTTTTCTTAATGCTGCAATTTGGTGGACAGTATACAGCACCAACACTAAAGTCCTGTTTAGTCGCTTTAATTTTTATCGAAATAAGCTGAATTTCAGCCGTTTCTATCTTGAATTCTTCATTGTTCTATACTTTCTTTTATTAGTATTGCACTAATAAATGAAATTTCACATGCAAATTTATTAAGAGTATGTCACGGATTGACCAACTTTTGGGATATATCAGACCTCGGGATCTTTTAGCGGACCTGTTTTACATTTTTGATCATTTTGAAGAAAATATTCAACAGATTTTCTTGAAATTTCATATATAGACTTCATCCGTACGTCCTCGG